GAAATTTAGGAGAATTTAAGGACTGTCAGGAGAAGATTTTGGGAGACTAAAATTAGGGACAATAAGTTATTAAGTTGGTATATACTAACAAATTGAGTCAGTATAAATATTAGAGATGGGCAGGGAGGAGATTAAAGTGAGGAATCAGAAAATAAGAGAGACAAAAGCAAAAAGATTGAGGGAGAAAGAAATGGCAGAGCAAAAAGCAAGCTTCCACGGAAGACTCGAAAACTTTAAAGGAAGGATGTTCAACTACAGGAGGGTTAAAGAAACAAGGTTACCTTCTATGCTTTTGTTTCATTTACTGTGTTTATTTTTTTGTCTATACACCGTCTTTTAGCTAGATAGAAATTTTCAGTAATAAGCATGTAGATATATCCTCATGTGTATAAAATTACTAATAAATATGAATCCTTTCCAAATTCTCACACACGTCGCAACACTCACAACAACAGGCATCTTCAATGTTAGTTTAGTCCCCTTAGTTTTATTTAAACTATTTTCATTCTTAAGTATTCTGTTCCATATATTTTAGTTATTTTCTACTTTCCTATTATTGAAGAATAGTTTAAGTGATGATGAGAAAGATAAGGAAAATAGGGATAATAGGAAAAATGAGAAAAATGTAAAAACCATTGAAAAAAAGATTATTCCAATATCATTTTCACAAAGTGTTCGTTAACTCACTAATAACCTTTTGTCATATGGTCCAGTATTATTTTACTCAATATATGTTCATCCTTTCCTTTTATTCATATTCAATCACTATTAAATTATTGTTGAAGACTAATAAATTTTACTTTATAATAATTTTCTTTTGTTTTTTCAATTTCTCTTTCATCGCAACCCTTTCTTAATCAAGGATTTGCTTTGTTCCATTAAAAAATATTTCTAACTCTGCCATTGATCATTAGGGAAAATGAAAATGAAAATGAAAACAAGGATGCCCCTACAACAGAAGATAGGATGCCGAAGTTTAGCCCAGATCCCCAAAACCAGGTAACGGAGGATTCAATCACAGACAACGGCATTGAAAATAGAAATAGATGCTTGTGATCCGAGGCGAAAAGTAGCAATGGAGAGCAAATTTGGGGGTTTGCAAAGATAATTGGAGTTGTGGATCGAGGTAATGAGGATGAGGTCCTATGAAGACTAAATGCTGTGGAGGAGCGAGACAAGGAGACGTATCGAAGATCAGTGACTAGAGAGGCTGAAAATGGGGGAAATAGAAGTGCAGAATTAAAATGATTTTTATGTCAACCAACATTAGAGGAGTAGGGAAGGAAGGCAAGAAAAAAAGGGTGAGAGAACTAGTTGCTCGGGAGAAGGTAGAATTTTTATCAGTACAAGAATCCAAGTTAGAGGTCGTTGATGCTCAACTTTGCAGAGCTCTATGGGTATTAGATAATTTTGAATGGGTTGCTCAACCCTCAAAAGGTACGGCTGAAGGCTTGATTTGTTTTGGAATTCTGATTTATTGAAGAAGGATAGAATTATTGAAGGGGAAATTTTCATTGGGATTTTTGGGTTTTGGGGGGTGTCTAACATTCCTATTTATATCATAAATATCTACTCCCCATGTGATATAGTTGGAAAGAGGGCTTTATGGGCTGCTCTCAAAAATCTTATTCTTGATACTGGGGGGAATTGGTGTTTAATGGGAGACTTCAATGCAGTGAGAAATAAGCAGGAATGGCGAGGAGGGAATATTAGAAGAGATATGTCGAAGTTTGATAGTTTATCATTGATTGTGGATTAGTTGACCTACCATTAATTGGCAGAAAATTTACCTAGTACCAAACTAATGGAGCATCGATGAGTAGATTGGATAGATTCTTACTCTAAGAAGAATGGTGCTTGAACTGGGAGAATGTTAAACAATCGGGCTTGAACCATTCATACTCTGATCATTGCTCAATTGTGCTAAAAATCATATAATTGATTGGGGTCCAAAACCTTTTCGATTCTTCAACGCATGGCTTGAATTTCCTAAGTTTAAGGACATGGTGAGTGATGTATATTGATTAACTTTATTTTAATTATTATTTTCTTTTTATTATTTTTAATTAAAGTTTATTCTTTTTCGATTGTTCAAATAAATTTAGATTAATTATTTTTTGTACTTAATTAATCGCAATCCTCATGAGTTCGGTACTTTTCTCATGATTATATTATTTGGAGCAACTGGTACATTTGCTAAAGTGATTTTAGCACATCACTTGACAATTTTATGACTAATGAACTTAGCTTGATAGGTACATTTTCTTTTGGACAACTTTACAACTTTTTGTATGAGATATAAGCTATCTTTTCGAAATGTTGATATCGATGGTTCATATAGTTGGTGACATGCTTATGATATGCTTTTTCTTTTTGTTATTAATTCTCTTATGAATGAATTACTATAATTTCTATGGAAGAAATTATGGGAGGTTAGAGTTGCTTTCATTATGTGTTACAGAACTAGCAAATTATGGGTGGTTGAGTTTGTTTTCTGTTTCTATTTTCATCATTTTAGATGAAAAATTAGTGTTTCTTTTTTTTTCTCCATACATAGTTAGCTTCTACCTTTCTCCAATTTGAGGTTTTATTATGTGTTGAGGATATGGCAAATTATGAGTAGTTGGAGTTGCTTTTTGTTTCTATTCTCATCATTTTTAGATGGAAAATTGAGTTGCTTTCTTTCTCCATATGTAGTTAGCTTTTGCCTTTATCCAATTTCATGTTTTATTATGTGATGAGGAAATGGCAAATTATGGGTAGTTGAAGTTGCTTTTTGTTTTTGTTTTCATCATTTTAGATGGAAAATTAAAGTTGCTTTCTTTCTTCATATATACTTAGTTTCTGCCTCTCTCCAATTTGAGGTTTTATTATGTACAAATGAAATGGCAAATTATGGGTGGTTGGAGTTGCTAACATAATTTTATGAATTTTATGAATTTAAGTTAGCTTGATTTCCCATTCACTTAACTTGAAGATTCTACTTAACTTGAAGTCAAAATAGGGTACTCAGCTTATGTATTTGTATCAATTCTCAAGATTTTGAATTGCTTAACATAGCAATTTTACTTGTTTATTGATTGAGTATCTGTTGCATGTTTATTAAATCCTGTTGAAATCATTTTCATGGACTAGTTATTAAATCCTATTGCATGTTTAAGATTTAATTGTGGTGAATAAAAAGGGTAGTGAAGGAATTGTATTGTTTGATGGGAAATTTATTTTATAGAGGTTTTTGTGTATTGTAAAATTAGTTAAAGTACCATTTGTTCTCAATATATAAATAAAAGAGTGTTTTTGTTGTTCAAAAATAAAAATTTGACAAATAGTTTTTGTCAATACAGCAAAACAATTAGTGGAGGAGAAAATCATAAAATAAAAGTGAAATACCAGTTGTTAGAAAAACAAAAGGATCTATACTGACGAAATTATCCACCTGTAAAGGTATAAATCTATATGGATGGCAAAATATTTTAAAATTTCTCAGGATTTATACCAACGGAATTATTCATCTATATAGGTAAAGGTCTACACGGACAGCAAAATCTTTTAAAATTTCTCAAGATCTATACCAACGAAAATATCCATTTGTATAGGTAAATGTTTATACAGATGGCAAAATCTCTTAAAATTTCTCAAGATGTATACCAACAAACAAGTCTTCCATCAAAATAGATCCCAGAGGCCTATACATATGAATTAGTCATCGGTATTTTCCTTATACGGATGAGGTTTGTACTAACTAAAAGCTCTTCTATTGGAATAGTTCCTAGGGATCTATACTGACGAAAAAAGGGTGCAAACAAAAAACTTCCATCACTACAAATACATCTGGTTGTAGTGTTTCACAATAGCAAAACAAAGAGATTGATCTGCCTTCTTTTTTTTCCTTTTTTTTTTCATAGCCTTAAACCTTTTAGGGAAGTGCCAATTTTAGGTCATCCCCAAAGATCGTCTCCAGGATCTATGGTATGTAAAAGGCTTTTAGGTACGAAAAGTTTATTGTTCCCAAAAAGATATCCTACCCAATTTAATTTTATGAGGACTTTAGGGAGGATCAAGTGAATCATCTCCAATATCACTTAAAAGTCGAATACCACGCGTGTTGACATGTAAAACGTGCCAAAACTCGTCCCTTAAACTCATTTTTTTTTAGTGTAACATTTATGAAATTTGTTTTTATTTTTTAGAATTAAATTAATTAAATGTGTACATTCAAATATTTTTTTACATCTACCATTAAAACATTTTTTATAAATTAATACACTTAAAATGATTAATCATCAAAAAATACTCAAAAATATATTTATAGTTATAATTAATTATTATTCTAAAAATTTTATAATAAATAAAAAATTTTTTAAAATACAAACGAACGCAAATTGAGGTATAGTTTAAAGTAAAAAATACAGTTCTTTAAAAAAATAAATAATAAAAAATACAATTGTTTTGAAAGGTTGAGAGCAGTAATAACTGTCACTTCCTCTCTCCTCAGCACCCTCCGTTTTCCATTCCTTCTTCCTCCCATATCCTCTTTCACTCTTCCTCCTTGCCGTCTTGGCATTCCGGTAATGAACGTTAAGAAAAATAAGCACCGTCGCAACCAGCCATTGCTAGACGACGAGCAAAATTTAAAAATTTGCTATTTTTCTTCTGTTAAACAGTTTTTTACAAATTTCGTAATTTGTATCATTCGAATTTTCCACAACGGATAGAAATCTGAAAAATTGAAAAATAACAGAGAAAACGTACGCTTTTCCAAATTCGATGACTAGTGGTAACTTTAAAAGATGAATATTTATTTGTTTTTAACTCCTCATGACCATAACTGAAGGACATTCAAACACAATTTAATATTTTTTTAAAAAATAAAGCCAACAAAATCCTATATATGTTTAATCAGAATGTTCATACAATTGCAAACCATTGTATTGTGGTAGCTAGTGCCTTCTAGTGAGAGTTTCAATTTCAAGAAAAAGAAGAATGATTCACAGCATTGTGATTGTGGTAGCTCTGATGCTCATCTTTGCAGCGATTGCAAGGGCAGATTTCTATCGTTGCTTCGCTGATTGCATTTTTATCTGTGATTTTCCACCGACAGATTCAGCATGTTTCCGAAGTTGTGATAAAAACTGCGCGTTGAACCCCTGCTTTATAGATCACGGCTGCAAGGGTTAAGTCCCTTTTTACATGGATCAAAACAGCTGCTCTACCAATTAATGCAAAAATAAAAAAGGGCTTTAAGTCCCCTTTCACATGGATATGTGTTAGACCCCGTTTGGCTAAAAATAAAATATCACTGTAATTGCCGTCATCTATAAAGTAATTTAATAAAACTGTCTTCAAAAAAAGAAAAGACAAGAAAAGAAGATCTACATTAGCTGACTTTATTATTAAAATAACATCGAGATCGATCATAAGCTAGGGCATCGATGCCCTGAGATTCGCTAAACGGACTCCTATCCTTGATTTCAACCGTCTCTCATAAAATCGATCCATCATAAATGTAACTAATTAAAGAAACTAGTACCCTTGAATCTTGACGTTAGTCTTCACCTGGAAGTATCAACCCTGCTCTTAAATTAAAGCCAAAAGGAAAAAAAAAAAAAAAAATCCCCACCTATGTATCCCTGATTTTTAAAAAAAAAGAGAAATATGTTCCTCACATTTTGATTTGGAACATTTTTGCCCCTATACCTCAACTCTGGTAGGTTAAGTTACCAATTTGGGTTCTCAACTTTCGGTTCTGGACAAAGTTAGTCCCTAAACTTAAGAAATTACTAAATCCATCCTTAAACTTTATTTTTCTATTACCAACTTAGTCCTTCCATCAACAGAAGTGCTCTTTGGTGGCACGTTAAACTCCCAAATCTACCCCTCAAATAGAAGTGCAGGGATAGATCAGCCCCTCAAGATAATGTAGGGACAAATTGTTTTCTAAATTATCAATAAAAACATATCACCAATTATTTAACATGTGATGTCATTACACATTAGAAATATGTTGGCCACCTAAGAATTTTTCAACAAAAAACTAACATGTGATAATGTCACACATCAAATAATGGGTGATTTGTTTTGATAAATAATTTGAAGGGATAATTTATCCCTGTAATTTTTTTAGGACAGATCTATTCTTGCCCTCCTATTTGAGGGGTAGGTTTAGGGGTTTTGTCAATACATTTTTGAAATTTAAAAAATTATGTCAAAGAAAGGACACTATTAATTGATAATTTGGCAATTTTTTCTCCACTTATGATGATTTTCCCCTCTAAGCTAATGGATGCACACATTAGATTTCTCTTTTTTGGGTTTTATGTATAAGAGTTTTTTATGTCTAATTATCATTGTGCTAAATATTTTGGAACCTACACTAATTATCATTGTGGTAGGGTGATTAGGTGTGAAGAACCTTAGGGTTTTTAATATTTCTTTGTTAGGAAAATGGTGGGGTAGGCTTTTACACCACAAAGGGGGATTGTGGAGTATGGTGTTGGAAGAGAAAATGGATTGCAAAGTAGTAACCGAGCAAAATGGGCTAGGGATGGATCCACACAAGAATCACAATGGTGGAGAAGCATTTGTAGTTTGAATAGTGTTAGAAGGGTTTGAGGGATGGTTGATTGGGAGTTTCAAATTAAAGTTAGGGAAGGGGAATGAGGTTCTATTTTGGAAGAATAAATGGGTGGGAAATTTTAAACTTTGTGACAGATTTCCAAGATTGTTTTAACTAGCAGCAGACAAAGACATTATAGTTACCGAAATGGGAACAATGAGGGATAATTCTTAACTGTGGAACTTCAAATGGCAACAATTACCACACCAACGGGAAGAGGAAAGTATTGCAAAACTAGTAGAGATTTTAAAAGAAAGGAATCCAGTAGCTAATGTTGAAGACAAATGGATATAGCAACAGCAGAAGGATGGGAGATACCCTATGAAATCATGTTATAAGTTCCTAATGAATGTCTTGGAGCAAGAAACATATATCACTATGAAGACTTGATGGAACTCATTAGTTCCAAAGAAGGTATGTGCGTTTATGTGGCAATCTTTATACAAACAAATTCCAACTAAAGATAATCTATTAGCTAGAGGTGTACTAAAGGAGGAATCTCAAGCACTTTGTGAGATGTGTGGGTTTTACGTGGAGAGCGTGGACCATTTGTTGCTTACTTGCCCATATGCTTGGAAATTATGGTCAAAATGCCCAAGATGGTGGGGAATAAGTGATGTTATGCACCATAATTTAGAGAAGGCCTTCCAACAACATGTTGGAATGTTTAGAAAGAAGACAAGAAGCAATGAGTGAGAGGTAGTATGGTTTGCCATCATATGGACAATATGGTTAAGTAGGAATGAATATCTCTTCAAAGGTACAAGAATTGATGAGGATAAATTATTTGCTTTGGTTCAGGCAAGATCTCACCTTTAGATAGTAGGGCAATTAGGACAAGAGGTGTTCCTTTTCATGAACTAGATTTTGAATCCAAGAGAATGTGCACAATTGCTTCAAAAGACAAAGGCAAGATGAGGGCAAGGCAATTAACTACAAGCTTTTTTGAGATGTGGTAAATTGGTGATATATAGGGCCAAGACAGCATGTTAAATGATCCTTCTTTATAAAGGTGGTTAGATGTAAATGGGTAGAGTACCCCTTGTACTCTATCAACAAAAAAACATTTCTCTTGGTTGTTCGAAAAAAAAAAATTGGAACCCACACTTATTTCTCTCTTCCTCTCCTCCCTTTCCTTGTCCAGCAATGAGCCAACAAACCATCTGCTCCACCTCATTCTATAGTGCAAATCCATATTTTCTAGGAAACCTAGATAATGGGTTTTCTATCAAACATGGAGAGAAATAGAGGAAAAAGTTGAGAGTAAAGAAATCAATCATAGGAAGAAACAACATTCAACCATTTCATTTTTGTCAAATTAAATACAAAAATAAATAAATAAAACAAGAGACAACGAAATTAGAAGGCATAAAGTAAAGGAAATCCAGATCGATATGATTCTAAACACAACAATGGTATCATATCTTGCTAGAATAAGGGTTGTTTTTGACAAAGAAAAAAGATGGATCCACATCATTGTCGACATCAAATTGTCAAGTCAAATCTTTAATCAAACATACGTATGTGTCAATAATATTCTATTAACATCCTTCTAGAATAGTAAGTTTAGGCTAAAGTTTACATTTAGCCCCTAATCTTAATAAGTTTGAAGTTTTTAACCTCACACCATACATTATGAAGTTTTTAGCCATCGAACTTAAGGTTTGAAGATTTTAGCCCTTAAACTAACAGAATTCGTTAACTCTCCATTAAAGTAAGAATAAAACATTTATAGAATCAATCCTCAAAGATTAAAAATATAACAATTTAGTTTTAAAAGTTTAAAAATTAAAAAATAGTAAATTAAAAATAATTAGTAGATATCTTTGCACATGCACGAGAATAATATTAGAAATCTACAAGCAAATTAAGTTATTAGCTCAATCTAAAGAAAGAAATCTAACTAAAATTAAAGAAAATTTCTTAACTATATTATTTTAGTCTCTTAAACTTTCTATTTTAACACAGCTAAAAAATTTCTTTAATCTCAATTAAAATTTTTTATTCAAATTGAGTTAATCACTTGATTTATTATAGATGTCTAACACTATTCTAGTGTATGTAAGAAAGTCATCTACTAATTCTTTTTAGTTTACTAACTTTTTTAATTTTTAAAATCTTAGAACTAAAGTGTTATATTTTTAATTTTTGAGGATTGATCTTATAAATATTTTATTCTCACTTTAATAGAGAGTTAACGAATTTTGTTTGTCTAAGGGCTAAAATTTTCAAACCTTTAAGTTTAAGGGCTAAAAACTTCATAGCATAAGTGAGGGTCTTAAAGCTTAAAACTTAACAAGGTAAGGGGTTAAATGTATACTTTAACCAGCAAATTTGACAGGGAACAAATCATGGTGAAGAACACATAAGGTCCCCATTATCATAGAAATGAACTGAATTTTGGAAGTCATTGTCTCCTTCACACAATCTAAAATTTTTTAGAAGGATGTGCAATCCTTTTGACAGTAATCTCGTATATGGTAGTGCAATGCATAGTGGGCATAACAACTAGGAATACCCTCTGACAAAGTGATATTAACATTGGGTTCCCATCATTTGCAAATAACAAGCCACGTTTTGGGGTCCCTCTTGCTCTGGATAAAGCAACAGAGGAGCGAACTTGTGTGAACTATGCCAAGCTCTGTGTTGAGATTGAAGTTGCAGCGGCTCAGGATCTTCTGGAAAATATTGTAGTTGACATTGAAGGCTGTCCCTCTGTGGATGTGCGAGTTGAGTATCCTTGGTTGCCTACCACTTGCAGTACTTGTAATAAACGGGGACATACCGCCCACAATTACAAGTCAAGGAAAGACAAACCGCAGCCTAATAAGAAAGAGTGGTTAAAAGTTGCTGAGATGAACAAAAGGAAACAACCAGATGTGTCTTCCAGGTAGGTGAATGATGTTCCTAATGTGGAGTCTGCACTCCCTGCTTGTCATGAAGTACTACCAGTGCAGAAAGAAAACCAACCTGTCAAACCACTTTTGCAGAATGAAACTCTACTCACAGCCCAGGGACAGACTACTGTATCTCTTATGGAGCAAGGACCTATTGAGAAGCAGAATTCTTTTGAAGCTTTGGCATCTATTAATGACGAGCAGGCCTTTCCTCCTCTTCAGGTTTCTTCAGTGTCTCCAAAATCCCTTAAGAAGCCTCGACAGGCTTCTTTGGGTGTAGCAACTGTTACAAAAGCCTTGGCCCCTCGACAGAGAAATTGCAAGAAAATTTCAAATCCCTCCAGTGAGGTATCCTTTCTTCTATATCATAAATGAAACTCATATTTTGGAATGTAAGAGGGATAAATAAGTCTACAAAGTATAAGTCACTTAGACAAACATTGAGGAAGTATGATGCAGACATAGTTTGTCTTATTGAAACTCATGTTTAGAAGCAAAATTTTGATAAGATTGCTGGATATCTTTTGCCTGAGTGGAGTAGATTTTGCAATTATGATTCTACTCCTCTAGGGAGAATTTGGCTTTTTTGGAAGTCCCATGTAACTATAAGGATATCTAGTTCTAATCATCAGGCTATACACTGTCATGTGGTTGACAATATTACTAAGAGGTACATGTTTGCTAGTTTTGTGTATGCGGATAATTCTCCTGATCAAAGGAGACAATTATGGGATGAGTTAGTTGCTCTAAGCAGGGTGCTGCCTAAAGTGCCTTGGATTATAGGAGGTGACTTTAATGAAGTTAGATATTTGCAAAAGAGGTCTGATTGGATCCAAAACATGCACTTCTCCAAAGATTCTATGTTGTTTAATGACAGGTTGAATGAAGCTGAACTTTCTGATCTTCCTGCTTGTGGGCCTAAATTTACATGGTCGAACAAGAGAATAGAGGGACTCATTGTTAAAAAGCTTGACAGGTTATTAGTCAACAGCACTTGGTTTAGCACTTTTCCAAGAACTAGAGCAGAGTTTCTTCCTCCTGACATCTCAGACCATTGTGCTGGGTCTGTAACTATAATGGAAGTGGCAACCCAAAATACCAGAAAGCCTTTCAAAATTTTCAATTTTTGGACAAAGAATGAAAGGTTTCTAAACATTGTCCAAGAGGTTTGGTCATCTGTCACAGTTTCAGGATGCTACATGTTTCAACTTTGTAAAAAGTTAAAGGCTCTTAAGGCCCCTCTACGAGAGCTTAATAAGGATTGTTACAGTGACCTGCAAGGAAGGATTCAACAAGAGACTTCAAAGCTACATGCTATCCAAATTGATTTGTTAGCTAATCCACATGAAGATTTGGTTTTGGTGGAATAGGAACAGGCTAGGAAGGTGGCAAAGTTATCACTTGCTGAAGAAGCCTTTCTGAAACAAAAATCTAGAGTGCACTGGCTACAGGAAGGAGACCAAAATACTACTTACTTTCATAAAGTAATGAAAGTTCGACAAAGTAAGAACCTGATAAAAGAATTGCATACTGAGGATGATAAAATACTCA